GCATTTAACAACCATGAATAAAGCACAGTTGTTCTCTTTCTGTTCATTACTGATCTCATCACCAGGCCATTTCCTCCCTCCACACACTCACCCCAAGGGCCACTCAGACCTGTCCTGGTACCGGCTGGCCACAAAGTTTCCATCTTCCAAGCTGAACAGATGAAGAGGATTTAGTCACCAGATGTGAGCCTGGCTTGGGGCCGGCAGAAAAGAGAGACTGTCAAGTGAAGAACCAAGAAAAACTCACACAGCCCAGAGCCATTGTCATCAGATCGCTATGGAAAGCAGGTGTGGTCCGTTCCAGCCTAATCCGGCAGAGCTCTCAGCCACCTGTCCTGACAACTGCAGACAAAACTCGCTACAATGATGATCCAACGCCACCAGAGGCCCAGGCTCCTGATGGCCCGCTGGGAATGCTCTATACCAGCTGTTCCTCACCCTGCAACCCCCCTGCCCCGCTATACCAATCACTATAGTGCGTAATTCTACGCACCCGCAAAGCATACCAGCGGTTTCCCTCCCTGCCTCTCTCTGAGGTCACAACAACAGAAAAGTCGAGTTTTTTTTTTCTCTCACTTCCGATAAATACATCTGAAGTTTTGGTATTTTGGCTTTTTTTTGGCTGGTTGGACAAAACTGAAAAAAGCAAAACAGGAAAAAGCTAAAATAGGGGTCCTCGATGACCCCTTCAACCCCCACACTTCTATGAGAGACTTGCTCAACCCTGGGATGTGAGAAGACTAAGAAACCATGAAAATTGGGATTCAGGGAATTAGGTACAGGATACAAGGTTGCGAAGAGCAGGATCTCTGGTCTGTGTTCACTGCTGGATCCCCCATCTCTAGAATGATGCTGCATCTACACTGCTGAACGAATAGAAAGAAGCTACAGGGTAAACACAGGTGCCTGGGAAAGGCCTGGAAAGGTTCTTACAGTGCTGAGTTTTGGAGCTGTGGGATAAGATTCATTGATGAGTCATGAAATCAATTTAGTCTGATTAGTGTTGTTTTGAAAGAATGGAAGAGAATAGTAAATACCTTAGTAAGGAAAAAACTAATTTTGTGCAATTTCAGTTTAAGATATACACCCAAGATTGCAATGGAAAATATGTTATTGGTTATTAAAAAAAAAAGAGGAAAAGCATTTGCCTGGAGATATTGAAAAAGCAGATTCCCAGACTCCAGGCAGGACTTCTGGGATGAGAATCTCTGGAATTTTGCACTTTGAACATGTTCCCTTGGGGATATCAGCAGACTCTAAACTTTGGAGTCTCCACTCTGAAAACCACTGTGGGGCCTGGAATTTCAAGCAGTTTAACAGCCATGGGACAGCTGATCAACAAATTAGTTTGACAGCATTACCACAGCTATCTTCTGTTTGGGAGGTTGGGGTGGGGGTTGTGGGTGGGCAGGAGAAGACACGGGACCAGGGCAGGCATTTAACAACCATGAATAAAGCACAGTTGTTCTCTTTCTGTTCATTACTGATCTCATCACCAGGCCATTTCCTCCCTCCACACACTCACCCCAAGGGCCACTCAGACCTGTCCTGGTACCGGCTGGCCACAAAGTTTCCATCTTCCAAGCTGAACAGATGAAGAGGATTTAGTCACCAGATGTGAGCCTGGCTTGGGGCCGGCAGAAAAGAGAGACTGTCAAGTGAAGAACCAAGAAAAACTCACACAGCCCAGAGCCATTGTCATCAGATCGCTATGGAAAGCAGGTGTGGTCCGTTCCAGCCTAATCCGGCAGAGCTCTCAGCCACCTGTCCTGACAACTGCAGACAAAACTCGCTACAATGATGATCCAACGCCACCAGAGGCCCAGGCTCCTGATGGCCCGCTGGGAATGCTCTATACCAGCTGTTCCTCACCCTGCAACCCCCCTGCCCCGCTATACCAATCACTATAGTGCGTAATTCTACGCACCCGCAAAGCATACCAGCGGTTTCCCTCCCTGCCTCTCTCTGAGGTCACAACAACAGAAAAGTCGAGTTTTTTTTTTCTCTCACTTCCGATAAATACATCTGAAGTCAATTTTAACAATCTAGACGCAGTGACTGAATTGTTTCCAGGTCCTTCTCTCTCTTCCAGAGCCTCTGCTTTGCTGAAGGGCAGGAAGAAGCGTGCCCACGTGCAGTGAGGATCACCATGAGAAGCTTCGGGTCATTTTGGTGCAAGGGGCTCCTTCTCTCTGGCTTCCTATAGCACTTGCTGCCTGAGCCACTCAGCAGCTGCGAGCGTGTGAGCTGGCATCTTTTGCTGTGAGCTTCTCTTACCGTGTATCCTCTTCTCTCAACTTGAATCACAATTTCCTAGAAGACAGAAGCATGCCTGAATCTTCCACCTTGTTTCCTTGTTGCCTTGCTTTAAAAACGTCATTTGTATTTCCATCTGTGTGTGTGAATGTGGAAGGACATATAGGACATACTGCAATCACACGCCATGTCAGATGCTATCAGCACTGGACAAAGTTGTCAAAAGCCGCTCATCTTAGCAGGAAGCGTCTGTCTTTCACCACATTTGGTTAGTCAAGCACCAAATTGCTCCTGCTGCATTCCTGACACTAAAAATAGCAGGGACATTCAATTTTGAAGAAAAAAGATCTACACGAACAGGGCCAGACTAACAGGATTAAGGACAAAAGATAAACTTAAGTAGCCTCTCAGCCAGGTATCTTTTGTCCACCAAATTAACTGAGTGTACTTACTGTTTATGCAGGGAGCATGCTAGCAGTTTCATGTGTACTCTTTCATTTAATCTTACAGTAACCCATGATGCCGGCATTACTATCCCATTGCACAAAGAAACTAAGGAACAGAGGGCTCAAGTAGCTTCCCAAGGTTGGTAAATAGCAGGATTTGGATTCAAACCCATATCTGTCTACTTCACCAAATCCTTACTGCCTTTCTGATTAATCCAATACCTAATACAGATCCTCAGACCATAATTTGAAAGTTCTCTTTTCTAAAGAAAGGGTCAAAAGCCAAAAAATCCCCCCCCCCTTTTTTTTCCTGTTTAAGCAAGCAAGTGATCAACCAACCTTTCTCACAGAAAGCTAGATGGGGGAATTCAGGAACATACTTAATTTACCCTGGCTCTGCAAGACTTCATCTTTATTTCTCGACTGTCTCTTCTCTATCATGAGCAATTTCAATTTAGACTATGATCACTTGTACAATTTCAAAACCTTTCTCTGTCCACTCTAATGTCAAAATCTATCTAGAAGCAACTTAGCACCACTCCCACACCTCTCAACAAGTCTCTAAGCTTTTATCCTCAAGCCCTCAAAGTTTAGTCTCAAGACAGCAGTGTGTCCTTTTCAAAGGTTACACAGCAACTCTGCTCAACTGTACCTCTAGCCCAGTTCTCACTATTCTCCCCTCTGTTCTTCTACTCTTGGAATACGGCTTCCTTGCTGTTCCTTGAACAAACACAACATTTCCCTGCTCAGTCCCTTTGCACTATCTGCTCCTTCTGCTTGGGGCTCTTTTCTCCAAGATATTTGCATGGCACATTTCTTCATCTCGTTTATGGCTTTGTTTAAAGCTCACTGTCCAAGTGAGGCTTCCCTTCAATACCCTGCAAACCAGCTTTCCCTCCCAGGACCTCCTGTCCCTCTTGGTTTGTTCTGTTTTTGTTTTTAGCCATGGCACTTATTCTAACATGCTACACACCAGATTTGTGCATATGGCATCCTCTTTCTAGAAGAGAAGCTCCATGAGGGTAGAAATGTTTTTGTTTTGCTCACTGCTGTCTTCCCAGTATTTAGAACATTGCCTAGCATACACAATGTGCTCAGCAAATATTTGCTGAATTAATGTTTTACATGGCTTGCCAGTAAGAAAAACTGATAACCCCAGGTCAACACACAATGTTTACCCTATGGTTCTGAGTATTCCTGGAGCTCTAATCCACTGTGGGAGGCAGTTATACATCAGCTTGAGAAGCCTGGAAACAGAGAGCTATTTAAAGGGGAATGACGTAGTGGAGTTCTACATTTCAATCAGCCCACTCTAGCTCTGGGGGATGGATCTGGAGAGGATAAGGCTCCGAATTATGAGTCCATTCCTAAATATGAGAAACATTTAGGAGACAAGAGGGAAAGAATCAATGATTGGTTGGATATTGGGGGGGATGGTGGGATTCTGACTGACCTTTAGGTTATGAGGTTGGGGAAACTGAACAGATAACACAGTGAGTGATGGAGACAGCGTAAAGAAGAATTCCTCTTGGGAATGGATCTGGAATGATAAGACTCTTCCCCTTAGCTCAACATTCACTTCAGCAGTCCCTTGACAAATAACTAAAGTGATTATGGTAAAAGGCTCAACCGCAGCTACAGAGCAGCCAAATATAAACAAAAAGAATTCTATGGATCATTGCTTTGTTTCCATTTGTCAGAGGTTTTGAGTTGGCCTTTAACCAGGCAGAGTCCCTCCTAAAGAAAAAGGAAGGAATGTCTTTTCACGGGTTACAAGTCAGTTCTGTCTCTGAAGACACACACATACCACCATTTCTGTAAGCAAAACCAGTTGTCTGGTTTCTTTGGAAAATAACTTAAGAATTGGGCAATTCTAAAAGGACCCTATCTGGGCTTCCCTGGTGGCTCAGAGGTAAAGAATCTGCCTGCCAATGCAGCAGTCACCGGTTTGATCCCTGATCTGGGAAGAGATCCCGCATGCAGCAGAGCAACTGAGCCCCCAGCACCACAGTAATTTAGGCTGTGTTCTAGAGCCTGGAACCCACAACTGCTGAGTCCACGTGCCCCAGCTACCGAAGCCCCTGAGTCCTAGAGCCCATGCTCCCCCAGTGAGAAGTCACTGCAAATGGAGAAAAGCCCGGGCAACAATGAAGACCCAGCACGGACAAAAATAAATAAATAAATTTAAATAACAATTTTTTAAAAAGGGCCCCATGCTAAAGACCCCTAAACAAAGGTTTACCGACAAAATAGTTTAATCCACCACTGACTGGGCTTGTATTTTACCCTCTACCTTACCTGGAAAGTTCTCTCGGTTTAGCTTAGGTCTGCGGACAATCACAAAGTCCTTGTCATTCCCTTTGCTTTTCAGCCGTTTTCGTGGGGGGCTCTGTGGGTGGCCCAGGTTTGAAAGCAGTTCCTGGGGGATGTTCTCACTGTCCACCTCCTCCTTCTCCAGGGCGGAGACCCCCATGCCTGAAAGCAGTTCAGAAGTCTTGCTAGAATCCCATCCCCACGTGAAACTGGTGGTAACGTTGCTAGTCTGGTCGGGTATCTCCTGGAGGTGTTTCCTGCAGAAACGCACAATAGCCCCACGTTCTTTTCAAAAACACGCCCGTAAGTAATTCCCAGACAGGCCTAAAGGAAGCTGCAAGCTATGCACCGCAGAAAGCTTTCACAGCAGCTAACTGAACTGCATTTTTACGTGCCGGCGGCGAGTTCCCAAGAATAAAAGAGAAAATAACCGAACACATCGAAAAGGCTTTTCGATTTTCGATCATGCAGAAGGCCTCAAGAATTTCTTAAAAGTGGAGGAAACATACAAGGAAAGAGGCAGGGCAATCACACACGATTGAAAACAGCAGCAGGAAAGCCCAATAAGGGAAGACAAATAACATCCACGCTGATCACCGCACTAAAGCATCCACCCATCCACGTTTTCCCAAAGAGGCTAAGCAACCATTCACATTACAGCACTACTAACAATATTAGCAAGTAGCAAAACACGAGGCCTAAAAGAATTAAGACGGTCCATTCATGTTCTGTCTCCTTCTGCAATCGGTTTACCTGTGCATGGCGTCCGCAGGTTCGGGAGTTTTAAATGCGTGCATCAATTGCAGAGGTGCCCGCCTCCCAGATTCCCGCTTTGGCGCGCGGCGGCGCACTGCGTGCGGCGCACTGCGTGCGGCCCCCGGCTCGCTGCAGCGAAACCCGCGAACTCTATCAACGTTCCATCCCAGCAGCGCGCGCAGAATTCTCCAGCCAGCTGGCTCTCCTCCGCAGCCGTCGTCCGCGGCCCCGCTGCCTGCTGGGAATTGTAGTTTCTGCCCAACCTGGTAGTCCGGCTGCCTCGCCACTACTTCCTTTCCTTGCAGCTTTGCCGCCTTCGAGATACCCACAACCCCGCGCGGCTTCGGGACCGGACGACCCACAGGGTAGGCGGGGAAGCGGAAGCGGGCGGTGCTTCGGCTGACTGGGGAAATGTCAGCTGCTTGACTGGGGTCGGGGTTTCCTTTCTCGGGGACCCCCCCGACCTTTTGGTGACTGCCACTGCTGTCGCCAAGGAGTGTGGGTCCCAAACCCTGTAAGGCTGTGGCGGCCGCGGGATTTCCAGGCCCTTCTGGACGCTGTCCGGCGAGATCGGACGGTGAGCCCGAGGAGGAGAGCGTGAGGCACTTTGAGGTGTGGGGCCGAGCGCGGACTGAGAAAGGGCCCCGGAGACTCCGAGAGGCCGCCGTCTCGGGGCCTACGTCCCAGGCAGCTGAGTGGAGGCAGGGGCACGCCCTGCCGGCCAGGTGAGAGGCTGCGGCCGTGGGCGTCACGCCTGCTCCCCTCTGCCTGGAGCTGCGTACTCCACCCGGGTGAGGGCGGCCCTGAAGACTAGGTCTGTGGACAGGATCCTTTCCTTCCGTGTAAAACAGGCACCACGGCAACGACGCTCGTTTCACAGTCGCGGTCAAATCAGAGGAGGCTCGTGAGAGCGTCTGTAAGCGAAAGCGCGGTTCAAACGTGAGGCGGAGGTTTAATTTCAAGGGGAGCAGGAGATTACGGTGAGTGCCGTGGGAAAGCTGAGCATCCCCCGGCAGCCTTGAGAAATCCTACAAATGCTAGCATGAGAACAAATAAGGTGACTATTGTTTGCAAAAGCTTTTCGTGCCACGCTAGCGGCCACCAGCAGCGCCATTCGCTTACTGTCTCAAAAAAAATTCTTGTTTGCCTCACGTCCTAAAAGCCAGCTGCTTGCTTTTAGACTATATCCACGGAGAAAAGTTTGGAGATGGTTAGAGAGTGCCGTTTTCTGGGTAGGATGACCGTGCGAAATCCATTGTGCGAATGTCCTGTAACTGTGACCCTGGGAAAACAGTGGAAGAGAGAAGGGGAATAACTTCCAACCCTAATAAAAATGGAGAGGATTTATAAAGTTCAGAAATAAGCACCCGGCGTCATCACAAAAATACTAGAATGTCACTTAAGCATGCTGTGTGGCATACCTTCTTATTTCTTCTCTTTAAAAGAAAAAATTGAATTTACTCTGGAGTTAAACCTCCCTTGCTTGTATTTCAGCTTGTTTCAGGCTTGGTGCATAGCTTGAAATGGAACCACCTCTTGACACAAGAGGGCGTTCGTGATGCTTTAGTAGTTTATTCTTGAAACTAGGTAAAACTGGTGTAAAGAATGGATCTGTTCACTGATTGATTCTAGTTGAAACTAGATGAAGAATACTAAGCTGAATGTTCACAATTCATCAAGCTAATGTTACATGGAAAATATTTTTAAATGCAGTGTTCTGACTTTTTTTTTACATGAAGTTATCTTTATGATATTTTGGCTAAGGTGAAAGCAGTAGCCTTCTGCTTGAAGTCTACATCCTTTCTCCTAAAATAGCAATTCAGAGGAAATATTCAGTCTTCTTCAGGAAAGTGAACAAGACAGAGGGAGCTTATAAACTAATTGAGGAGAAGGAATAAACAGAATTTTTAATGCCATGATGAGAAGAAAGTTTTGAAATATAATATAATTGGAAGAGGGCACTTCAGACAGAGGTCTTATAAAATGTTAGTCACTCAGTCCCGTCTGACTCTGCGACCCCATGGACGGTAGCCCTACAGACTCCTCTGTCCATGGGGATTCTCCAGGCAAGAATACTGGAATGGGTAGCCATTTCCTTCTCCAGGGGATCATCCCGATCCAGGGATCGAACCCGGGTCTCCTGCACTGCAGGCGGATTCTTACTGTCTGAGCCATCAGGGAAGCCCAATAATTGGAAGAGGGCACGTAGAACTCTTATAAGGAAGGTCTAATAGGATGACTCTGACTTAAAAATGAGAAATGTCCTTGTGCTCGGATTTAGCCTGAGAGCTAGGAAACGTTTCTAGTTTTCAGAATATTTGAAATATCTGAATTAGTGGAGACAAGGTCCTTTGTAGGGCTTCAGAGAGAGCCTGTCAACTTGGAAAATCAAAGTGTTCAAATTCTAGAATAGATATTGCTCTAATAGTTTACCCTGGCAGCAGAATATTTTAGCTTATGAAAATGGAATCATTTCTGCATTCCTTTAATCGTGGCTTTTCTCAATATATTAAGTAAAAGTTTCACTTGGTAAGTTGGCTCTTTAATATAAGGAATTGTGTCCATTGAAGGCTTGAGATTATTAGCTACATAGAGTTTCCTGTCTGGTCTTTCCAAGAACTGCATTGTGATTGCTACTGATGTAGATTATTTTGTTCTCCTGATTAAGTTTATTTATTTAATACACTCAGCACACCCCAAGTCTCATTTTAGTGAGAGAGGGTTCCCTATTTCTAGAATTACTAGATCAGTATCTAGGACAAATCAATTACATTTTAAAAATATCTGCAAATGTCATTAGAGTGAGTAATTTCTAATACTCTTTGGAAGTTTTAGGTCGAGTACCAAGTGACTTTGTAAATTGGAAAGGTGTCTGTCATACATGGGACAAGAGCATAGTTACAAGATGGTCAATATTAGGGCATAGAACTAGCTTATGTGTACATATTTATATATACATATATATTCAGTAGTATATTATTGGGGCTTTCCTGGTGGCTCAGATGGTAAAGAATCTGCCTGCAATGTGGGAGACCTGGGTTTGGTTCCTGGGTAGAGGAGATCCCCTGGAGGAGGGCATGGCAACCCACTCCAGTATTCTTGCCTGGAGAATCCCCATGGACAGAGGAGCCTGTTGGGCTACAGTCCATTGGGTTGAAAAGAGTCGGAAATACTGAGAGATTAAGCATAGCACAGCACAGTGTGTTATTGTTCTTTTTGAAAATCAAATGTGACAAAGGAGATTCTCTTAAATAGAAGTGTGATGTGCTTTTTCCTTAGTTCCATAATAACATGAAGTAAATCTTAAAGATTCCTTTAGTTTTTTTTTTTTTTTAGTGTTATTTAGCTTAGGTGAACAAAAGACTAACAACAGTTACATAGCACGAAGTTTCTATCGGCTCATCAAAATTCAAAAGATTCTTTTTCCTTCGGTTAATTTTAAAGTAGATCTTTTAGTTCTTTGCAGTTTAATGTTCTCTACAATGGGCAGGTTGGGGCAAGAACAGAAGGGTTCTTTCCCAATTCTGTTTTGCTCTGTGCCTGCTTTTTTACTTTCATCTTATAGATTAGTCATGTTTTATCCTTAAGTTATGGCAGACTTACCTGCAAAGTTGCAGAGTTAGTTAGATTCTGTATTAAACATGACTTTATTAGCACTCTATCTTGATATATCTAAAAGAATAACAGGAGAATCTGTCTACTTTGTTCATGGAAATGAAATTAACAAAGGAAAGCTGAGCAAAAGCATGACTTAAACAGTCTAACTTGCATTAAAAAAAAGTATGTCTGGACTGGATTAAAGACTCCAGTGTCCTATATCCTAATTGTGAGCCTGGCTCTGTAGTCAGGATGCCTCTGTTTTGAATCCCACTTGTTACACTCTCTTGTGCCATTTTCTCTGTTAAACGGGGATACTAATAATCCTTTCTTACTGTATTGTGAAGTCTAATTTGATAAAGCATGTTAAGTGCTAGCAAAGTGCTTGGAATCTATTTAATAGTAAACTCAATATTAGCTACTCCCCTTAAAGAAAATTATTTTGTTACTAGGAAGTAGTCTATAGATTATTTTCTAATTACTACCATGAATCTTATCATCTCTTTACTGAAAATCTTTAAGAATTCATTACAATGGATCCAGTTGTTTTCTTCTTGCCTACTTAATGATTGCTGCCTCTGTCATGCCTTGCCAAAGGTGAAACAGTTTGAATATGTCCATTTTTCTCCAGAAGAGCTTACACTTTGGAATTCAGTTCACCTGGTTGGTTTGCCAACTCTGCTCATTTTTTAAAGATGATTTCAAAAATGTTATGCCTTTTTTGCATTTTTAGAGTGGGAGTTAATGTTCTCTTGTGGTATTCTATCTATATCCTAAGCTGATTTGTCCTTATTCCTGAAATCGTTTAATGTGGAATTAATGATTATCTTTCAGAGATTTAAATTTTGACTTGGTGGTACTATTGACTTTCATTACTCACATCTAGTTCTGTTCTAATTCTTTTGATTTTTCATTATTTGGATCTCAAGTTGTCTCCTAGTTCTTATGCACATATCTGAGTAAAGATACATATTTAAGTTAACACAGCCTGTGTGATGAATCATTAGGTCTAGTTGAAAATTTTTTATTCAATTTCAGAGTCAGGTTTTGACAAACTGTTTGTTCTCTTGTTCAATTGATACCAATCTTTTCCTTCCTATCTCCCCACTCTCCTTTTGGAAAATATTTGGGATAGGATGTTTCAGATTCCAAAATGATCTTAACCTCTAAATTTTCTACTTAAAGTGTGTTTAGTCTGAAAAACTATTATCAGCCATAAAGTACTCAGGAAGTAGTAGTCCAAGTCAGTAACATAAATAGTACTCAGTCCTGACCAACTCTTTGCCACCCATGGACTGCAGCACACTAGGTTTCCCTGTCCTTCACCATCTCCCAGAGCTTGCTCAAACTCATGTCCTTAGAGTCAGTGATACCATCCAACCATCTCATCCTCTGTCATCACCTTCTCCTCTTGCCTTCAATCTTTCCCAGCATCAGGGTCTTTTCCAGTGAGTTGGCTCTTTGCATCAGGTGGCCAAAATTTTGGAGCTTCAGCATGAGTCCTTCCAATGAATATTCAGGGTTGATTTCCTTTAGGATTGACTGGTTTGATCTCCTTGCAGTCCCAGGGACTCTCAAGAGTCTTCTCCAGCACCACAGTTCAAAAGCATCAGTTCTGCAGCGCTCAGCTTTCTTTATGGTCCAACTCTCACCTGGTGTCTTGATGATTGGTAAAAGACTGAGGTGAGACTTTATGAGCTGGTCTTTTCAAAGGTAGACTGTGCCTGCTTATCCGGTACTAAAATTTGAGTGAATGGATTGGCATTTTGATTTTTGAGTAAAACCTACTTTTGCTACTGTGGTGTTAATGTCCACTTATGATATTAATAGCTTTAGGTCTCCTTTTCCTTTCTAATCACGTGAAACTAAATTTTGATTTGCCTCTAAATTTTAGTGTGTTTTTTTCCTCTTAGCCTAAACACATTGTTTAAATAAACAGTAGTATTTCAGAAGGACCATTGTTGTTGTCAAAGAAATATTTGCCCTTTTGTCCCTGATTGTGTTTTTGCATAACTGCCCCTCATTGCAGTTCAGCAAATGATTCATTTTGATTTGCCTCCATTTTGATAATTTGCCTAGAAGAATGGATGACATTGGTGTGTCAAGTGCTCCTCCTGACGTGGCTTTG